TTACCTCACTCTATGAGCACAGCGAAAGTGAGTAATAAAAACTGGGGTATGAAACAATTCCTTAAGGAATGGAATCTATCCCGCGGACACAGGCAATCGAAAGAGTTTGTTAAGGCGATCAAACCAGCAGAATCGAAATGGCTATTCTCTAACTCAAGGAAGGGAATTAGTAGGCTGATAGCTATTCTGACGGGCCACTGCCCACTGAGAAGTGGGGTAGAATACCCCAACTCTCCGTAATGGGTATTCTACCAGATTCCTATTGCCATCTTTGTGAAATAAAAGAAGAGACGACAAGGCACTACCTCTCAGAGTGTGATAGGTATGCTAGGTCTAGATTTGAAATCTTTTAAGGAGAGGACATCACTAAAGATTAAATGGTCCAAAATCTTGGGGCTTGTGAATAGGTCCAAGAGATTTATGCAGTACACGTGAGCCGACCAAGTCCCGGACCTTTAGGGATGGGATATACGAGTCTACCCAGACATTTAACCCCTCGTCTTGGTCGCCCACCCTGCATGATATAAATATATCACCCTGTATATATATGGTGGTATACATATGGTTCGAAACATGTTAAGGAACCGGGTCTGATATAATCCTGCAAGCCTAAAAGGTATTTAATAAAACCCATTAGGGAAGTTCACTAGTACTCTGATTTTCAAGCTAAAATACATGCTATCAATGCTTGCGGCATAGAAAACCTTAGAGGTTACAGTGGCAAAGCATCCTCATACGATCAGACAACCAGACAGCCCTAAAAATATCAACACGTAAAAAAAGCTCACATCTAAAATAGTTGGTGACAACTAACTGCTAGAAAATTCAAAAAAAGACATAACAACCATACAATATCTTGGGGAGTGGGGGCACAAAGGAATTTTGGTAATGAGCAAACAGACATACTGGCCAGAAGAGGATCTGTAAGCAAAAGGTACCAGTGACAGTAAATGTATGTTAAAGATCTCTCACCAAAACTATCAAACATACTGCTACAGTTGAACAGGATGGAACGCAGAAGAGTGTTAAGGAAATATATACCGGTCACTGGTATCTGAGAAAACCCCTATACAACATGGGTATATTCAGTGATAACACTATTAGTAGGTTATGCAACTGCTTCCCACTGCTATTTGAACGCGAGTGCGAAACAATGTAGACATAACCTAAGCTGCCAAGAAGACAAGGGAAGAATGCAGCAGTTTGTACCACTACTTTTTATAAGAAAAGTCGAGTCAAGTTAAACAGAACTAAGGACCAGGTAAATGTGCAATAAACCTAAAGATTAATACAATAAACTCATGATCAAAGTATCCTCACCAAAACTGTCAAACATATTGTTACAATCAGACAGCGTGAAACCCAGAATATAGATAGGGTTACCAATCACTGGCATCTGAGAAAACGCACATGTGCATAATCAACGAGGTAATTTTTAGGTTATGCCATGATGAGAAAGTAACAGCCACCCATATCTGCTCAATGGAGACAACCTATGGTATCAAGAAGGCCTGAAAAAAAGAATGATAGCAATAACTTAATAATTCTTAAAAGGAGGACAGAGTCAATTGAACTTAAATAAAAAACTAGGAAAAGTACAATCATCTTATTGCTATTATCGTCAAGGAGGATCTAAAATATATCCTATATAAAAATACAGTGCTTGGGCGATATTGCGATAGTCAATGTCTATTGGCAAGAATGAAATGTTATTACGCGATGGTCTCGCTTCGAACTACTTGGTTGGTAGGGTAATCGTTTCTTATTGAAAATTTTCCAGGGAGAAAATATCATTACCCACAAATTCCCTTCCTAACATGGCCAATTTACAGAAGGCATCAAGAAAAATCGTTTTTCAATATTGAATAAAGATCGATTTATTAAAACGACTTTTGAAAAACGGTGAAATTTGTAATGGTATATCGAACCATAAATTCCTAGTATAGCGCCATCGGAGGCCATCATCATCGGGTAATTCCAATACATTATGTTTTGTGTTAAAAGATGAGCTGGAACTAAGTGACGAAAGCTACATGATACAAATTTTTTTTTTTACTAGGGTTTGCAGCAGCAGAGGTTATATCCACCCTCGGGGTGCCGGTGTTTTTGAAAAAAAGCCCATTTGCAAGTATGTCGGGTTCGAATGCAGGGTCGCTGGATTCGAACCCGGGGCCTTTACCTTACAGCGCCGTGTCAACGTCTAAACCGTTGCGGCTACCGACGCCCCAAGGGATGGTATTCTAACATTTTTAATGCGATGCTATATTCGTCCTTTTGTCACATATAACCTTTTAAAGTAGGCTGTCAGAGTTTTTTCAGTCAGAGACCGCGAAACGGAGCGGTCTGAATGAATTTAGCTACCCCTTTGACGTTCATTTCGTTTTTTACTGACAGGTTCACCTTTTAGTGGAGTTCTCAAATTTTTGAGTTGGTACGTGAGAGCCTTGAGGCTAGAAAAGTGATCCGGATTCCTATTAGATTCATTCGATTTTCTGACCATGTTGTTATTGTTTTAAATTTATCATCTTATTTATGCTGAGAGGGCAACATCCTCGTTTGCACTCCGCGTCCTCTTCTACAGACAAGTTTTTTGTAGGAAACTTCAGTGGCTGTTCGAGCAAATGTATAGTTTTCATAAAGAAAAAATTACGTTTGTATATTATATCATCGTATAGTTAGTTAGTTCATCGTGATAGACACTCCTAGACGTCGTGGTTGTGGTTTCAATTCCCAGAGTGGCCCTTTTTTTTCCGCCACCCTTCTCCTCAATATATATGATGAAATAATCAACGGAATCATACTCTGGCTAATACGTAAATTCATAAGGCCATTAAGGAAATAAGTCCCTGAAATATAATTTTTGAAACTATTGAAAAACTTGACAATACAAGCAATTTCAGAACTTTAAAAAGTACATTTTCATCAATTCTAAAGATTAATCTCCCTTCCTGAAGGGTCATGAAATAGGGTGAGTTTTTATATAAAAATGGATTCGCGGAATGAATTGGACGTGCTTAAGTTGAAAAGTCGAAACAAGGGCGTACTGAACATTTAAATATTTTTCCACCCCTTTCTCAAAAGGGGCGCGTAAAAGCGTCGAAGTTGTGAACAAAGCGTCGGCCTGTTGAAAGACCGTCCGGTTTTTCCAGGGGCTCAATTATTTATTAATAGGCGGTTCTCCGGTGCAGACAGGAAAAGGGGTAAATATTGAATGGTGGGATATTAGCAGGGATGGATATGATAGGAGTACTGTCCCTGGCCGACGAAGCGGATCGACGTGCATTAGCCTTGCGTAAGCCCGATCGCTTTACAATGACGAGAATTGGTTTTGAATTGTAACCCGAACGGCGAAACGGAGCGGTCTGAATGAATTTAGCTACCCCTTTGACGTGTTGGGTTTAAAAGGCCTTTTTGAGAGCCAATTTCTGCTTGGAGAACAGGTTTGTTGTCGGTATCGATTTCCCTCAACTGGACACTGTGTTGCACCCACTGTTAAAAACGTGAATGCGAACCGGTTGAGAAAACGTTATTCAAGGCAAGATCTATTCATATGAAATTACGATCGTAATCATAGCTTTCAGAGCACATTAGTATTAAATAAAAATAAAAAACATATTTCACACCCTACATCCCACAAAAATTATTGTAATCTTGCAAAAAAGTCAATTCGAGACTTAACAAACCACTGTTGCACAAGGCGTAAGACATGTAAAAAAACTAGATAATAAAAACCAACATAACAAAACCTATGCCTACATTAAGTAGGTATTCATTACAATAGGTTAACCCCCTAATCTGCCTAAATAATACAGAATAACCAGTTTGATTCAATTCTTAATTCTGATTATGGATTAATTATTGTAAAATTATAAAATGACTCTCTTATGTTTGATTTCCAGGTATGTTGGACAGGTGAATTGGGGTAAAGGTATAAATTTTTGCGTATGTTTTTGTATCTGGATTAAATAATATCAAGTACAAATCGGATTTGGCGGGAAATTGTAGATTATTAGGTTTGAAACGTAGAAAGGACAGTTTAATTTTTTTTTTAATTTTCGATTGGATGGATTGTATTTTGTAGGGATTAGACTTGGTCGTTGATCACGAAACTTCGTTTTCGTACGTACATTTCGATCTCGTGACGGTCTTGTGAATGGTGAGTTTTTTTTAGTAAGGTTAGAAGGTATAAGGTAGAAGGTATATAGATCTATGTTAGTCTTTTGTAAATGTATCGTCCCCGGTATGTATCAGAATTTGCTAGGTTATTCACTAAAATAGACAGTAAAGCGGCCCATAGACGATCAATATTATTGCACAATATTTTGGGTTGTGCAATTTAATTGATCGTGTTTAGACGATATTGAAAGTTTGTGCAATATATTGCACGATTGACGAAAAGTTGAAAATATATTGTACAACCTGGAAAATATTGCACCTCTGTTGGCATTATTGCGCAATATCAGTCAGTTTGTGAAGTATCAACAAGTGGAAAATATTGCACAAACTACAATATCGCCTTCAAACTATTCATTTTCATTGCACAAACAAAATTTTGTACAATATTATTGAACGTTAAGGGGCAACCGTCAAATTATTGTGCAATCTATATTGTACAATAATATGGACCGTCTATAGGCCGCTTAAGATAAGTGGATTTTTCGGAGAGCGTGAGAAAGGTGGTGAAGGTGGATTTAATTTAATTAATTTTTATTCCCATTTGCGAGACCAAGACTGGATAAGGTCCAAAAAGAATTGGGTGGCTAGGAAAGGATTACATAGTTTTGGTACAAAAATTTGGAATTGCGGCTTTTCATATTTATTTATCAACAGGCAGATGCCCATAACCAGAGTTATTTATATATATATANACCCGTCACTTCACGGCCTTTTAGATGCGCGACGTACAGATCACAAAATTCACACTTAACAACAATAATTACATGTAACTTATACTAATTATTTTTTTTTTAAACAAAATATATACAATATATACAAAAACATAGTATGCGTTAACATACCGCCCACCAATTTTTGACCCACAAAAATTCTAGGCTGGTAAGTATTGCTTATCAATGGGGTTTGGCGGGAGTAAAGGTGCGAGTTTTGACAAAGGGCGTATTAAGGAAGTATGAGGAGTCTTGATTTTGGCCACTCTGATCACTCCATCTTTCCCTGGATAACACGCTGTGATTCGTCCGATCGGCCATAGTAGAGGGGGGGTGTTGTCTTCCTTCAGTAAAATGAGAGTCCCTTCTTCAACATTTTCTGTTTTTGTCCACTTAGTTCTTTGTTGAAGATTATGAATGTAATCAAATCGCCATTTTTTCCATATGCTTTGGATGTGCTGATTAAGCAGCTGCCATCTCAATAGACGATTTGAAGGGGTCTGGGTGACATCTCTTTCAATCCTTGCTACTAAAGGAGCGCCGATTAGAAAGTGACCAGGGGTCAACACATCATAATCCTCGGGATCTGTCGAAAGCGGATACAAGGGGCGCGAATTTAATATCGCCTCTACCCGACAGGCAAGAGTAGTCAGTTCCTCGAATGTCAAATGTTGTTGCCCCACAACGCGGGAGAGGTGGGTTTTAATAGACTTTACGCCAGCCTCCCAGAGACCACCGAAATTTGGTGCATGCGGGGGTATAAAGGTCCACTTTATACCCTTTGTGTGTAAGTGGTGACAAATTTTTTCTTTGGTCTCTTCTTTTTTCCACCATCTCTGTAATTCTTGTAATTTGCGTTGTGCGCCCAAAAAATTCCTACCATGATCGGAAAATATTTGGCTTGGTAACCCTCGTCTGGAAATAAACCGATCTAATGTGGCCAAGAAAGCATCTGTGGTCAGTTGTGATACGATTTCTATGTGCATAGCTTTGGTACTAAAACATACAAAAAGACAAACATATGCTTTTCCTACTGCCGCTTTTCTACGTAACGACTCGCGGATAAAGAAAGGTCCAGCAAAGTCTGTACCGACATTGATAAATGCACGGCCTTGTTCGAAACGGGTTAGAGGGAGATCGCCCATATATGGTGTAAAACCCTGTGTGCGAAGGCGATGACATCGTAAGCATTGATGCACTCTCGTTTTAACTACTCGTCTAGCCGAAATAATCCAGTAGTTTTGTCGAAGTATGGCATGTAATAGTTGTGGACCAGCGTGTAAATTTGTTACATGTACGTGGTCAATTAATAGTTCTACGAAATGACTTTTGCTTGGGAGGAGAATAGGGCGCTTAGTCTCGTCGGACAGCGGTGCGTTAGTTAGACGACCGCCCACCCTAAGAACTCCCTTTGAATCTATAAATGGAGCGAGTGATTTCAAATCGGAGTGAATTTTTGTTGTTAGTTCTTTCTGTACCGCGACGTAAAGACAGGTGGAGGCGTTACGTAGTTCTGACAGTTCAAGAAAACTGTATTCTCTTTCATCAGCAGGGACTCTGCAGTTATGTGTGAAACGTATGACATATGCCATGATTCTGATCAATTTACTGTATGAGGATGATCTATCTATCAATTCAATGAATGGTGAAGGGTACTTATCTAAACTAAGTAAAACAGTTTCTGATTTTATCTCAGGTAAATCCTCTCCAACCACAACGTCCAACGATTTGATTGGCCAGTCGTTAATAGGAAGCCTAATCCAACTGGGTCCGAGCCACCATGAATCGAGGTGTACGAGGTTGGATGGCGATTCACCCCGTGAGGCAACATCTGCGGCGTTGTTTGCAGATGCCACGTGAAACCATGAATAATCATTAGATGGTTCTTGAATAATACTGATGCGGTTTGCTACGAAGGTCTTCAAGCGATGGAGCGGTAGACGGATCCACGATAACACTGTCATTGAATCCGAAAACAAGTAAATCTTTCTTACGTTGATTCTGTCAAAGAAGTTAGATAGAAATTTAANGTAACTCGTACACAAAGTCTTACACAAATTTACGGGTTGCGGGACTGCCTCGAACACGTGCGGTAGCGAAGAAGCGTCTCTGGGCCTCGTCGTCAAGCGAGTCTCCACAACAAAAAACCCGTCACTTCACGGCCTTTTAGATGCGCGACGTACAGATCACAAAATTCACACTTAACAACAATAATTACATGTAACTTATACTAATTATTTTTTTTTTTAAACAAAATATATACAATATATACAAAAACATAGTATGCGTTAACAATACTAAACACATAACAAACCAAAAATAATGTTATAAATGGAACAAATTTCACTGTTAAGGACTAGAATTTAATAAATGGTTATGACCAGATGTATTAAGCAAATCAATATTCTCATATTCATTCGCTTGTCATAATATTCTTAGCATCGGCTGATTTATAGTATAATATGTGGCACCATGTTTCACATGAAATAGACCTTGAATGAAAAGTGGGAACTTTAAACTGGATTAATGTTAATAAGTGGAAAAATTTATTACATTATTTAACAACTTATACAAAAAAACAAAGTCACATACCAGCCTTCTAGTGCATAATAGTGTATAATCTATGCAACCTTAATGCCATTAGGATTGTTTCATCAGTATGGGAATCTCTATTAATTTTAAATTTATAAGAAACAAATCGGAGAAAGTTATTCTTAGTATAAGTTCAATCTGACCAATTCGGAAGCTATAAAAGGTTCTCTATAATGCTCCTTCCAAAAGTACAATATAATATTTTCAATACGATGATATCATTAAAATCGCATGAAATTTTGAATATAATTCCCAACATCTTGAACGCTTTTCTTTTAACAAAGTTGAATATGTTGATCAAAGGATCATTTAGAGTCTAAATATATTTCTAAGTCTTTTATTGTAATTGTTCTTTCTATTGACACATGATTAATAGTACATTCATATTGTATACAGGATAACTTCTGTTAAAAGGTATGGATTTACACTTAGCAATGTTAAGAAACAAAAGATTTCTATCACCCCACGAATACAAATTATTTATGTCCGATTGCAACTCCGAACAACCATCAGTTGATTTAATACATTTCGGGTCATCGAGTCATATTTTTAATAGGAAAGGACCTACGATGCTGTCCTGGGGGACACCCTCTTTAATTGGAATATAAGACGAAAAGGCAGCCCCCTGAGTGTTGCTACAGTACCGGTTACAGATAGTATTGTAATATTAAAAGGGATGTGAATAGAGGAAGCCCTTGACTTTCCATCAAGCAGTGTTTCATGAGACAGCAAAGATATACTTTCAATGAAAAGAATGCATCTAGGTTTAGATATGTTAATTTTTAAAACTTCCATCTGGTGCAAAGTCGCTTTATTTTTGTCAATGTCTTCTTCGAATAATGCCAGTTAAAAAACCTAGGCTTTAGCAATTCATGTAGAAAAATTCAAAAATTAAGTATGACCCAGAATCAAGCCGAGAGAGACGCCTGGTTTAATCATGAGTTACCATAACTGGAAGAATGAGCCAAAGAAATACCACTTAAGGCAAATTCCTACTCGTATACTGACGGCTCCAAAACGGTCAAGGGTACGGGAGTGGGTTCTTTGGGATGACCCCATGACCGAACTGAGGTAAACCTAGTCAAGTCTGCTGCAGTTTTCCAGTCTGAAATCATAGCGAGTGAACAATAAAGCCAGAGAAATAAAAAGGCTAGAAATACAATCCAAGGCAAGTATGCTACTGTTTTCCAGCCTGAAATCATAGAAATCGAACAATGTGCCAGAGAAATAAAAAGGCTATGAATACATTCACGGAAGATAACCATTTTCTCTGACAGCCAGGCAGCACTCAGTGCCTAAGCCTCATGCGCGGGGAAGACAGAGTGTTTGGAACTGCATGTCGGAAGTCAGCGACACTAATGACCTCACCCTAGCATAGGTCGCTGGATATTCGGGACGTAGGGGCAACGAAAAGGTTGACATGTTGGCCAAAAAGGGAGCCAACATGGACTCTCTGAGCCCAAAACCCTACTGCGGCCTATCAGCCTGACACAAAAGTGTCCAAAACGAGGTGGAACAATACCACAGGTATGAGACATGCAAAGAGATTCATAGAAGGACCGCAAAACTTACAAAAGAATTACTGGAAGGCAACCGCAACCGAACCAGGATACTAGTTGGTCTCCCGACGGGCCGCTGCCACTTAAGAAACATGCACCGGATAAGAGTACAGACAGAAGAAACAATGTGCAGATACTGCCAGGAAGAGGAGACCGCAGAACACATTTTATGTTTCTGTGAAGGTCGATTAGGTGCAGGTTCTTGCAATTAGGACAAGAAAAACCACAAGCAAGATCCTACACCAAGGATCTGCTGGCAAAGCTGTGGAGGCTGGTTAATAACCTGAAGCTGGCCATTGAGTTATAAAAAAATCAAGGGAGCACAAGAGATCAATTCAGGTCGAGGTGCAGTAGGCTTTGTGGCCGCCTCTTTTATCCCTATACCTATTCCTAATCTTGGTATTCAATTATGCAAAGCAACACGAAAAGATCTTATTGCTGTAAACAATACCATCTTTTATACAGTGCCAAAGGCTTTCTTCATGTCAAGGATGACATGTACTTAAAGTTCTTTAATGCTAATGCCTTCAGTGACGATGTATACTACCCAAGTTAACCAAGTTAACTGAACTGTGCTGATCCATGAGCCGAAGCGAAAGTTTTCTTCTTTTATAATGTGTTGAATACCTCAATGAGGTAATATCCTTATGGTTATTACTTTCAAAAATTTTCTTACTGCCAGTAGGTTGAGATAAGTTCAGGGTTGCCTCGTTTTTGATTTGCATGGATTTTTAAACTTTCCCAGCAATAAAGAAAGTAGTTTAAGAAAACATTGATCCATTTTTAAACAGATATTCTATTAAATCAATTTTTTTACTTCGAAACTCAAAACGTCCAAAATCATGTCTTAATAAAGCAATAACGAATTTTAACACCATGCAACGACTGTATAAAAGGACCAATCATTTGAAACAATCGTGATTTAAATGTTCGGCATGTTTGATTAAATTTTGCAATGTGAAATTCCTCAAATTTGATTTTCGATCAGACTGCTCTGTCTTTTCTGCCAAACAGTATAACCTCTAAGTAACTTCTCTCACTACAACCTATAAGTAAAATATCGAAACACTTATGGAAGCTATAACCTTTTATTCAGTTTTTCTAAGTCCATTTATAAAATTGAGAGTGAATGATCTACAGTTCTTCTAGTTGAAAGAATTTCATGAGAAATGTACTCATGGCAGAATATGATATATTTCGTCCTGGCAAGACATCTTTTTCCTCATAATTACCAATAGTACTATTACTGCGTTTCCTCTTTGCTTTCGGCCGCGATACTTATGTTTTATGCATGGCAAAAACAATATCAAAAAGAAATAAAAAGACCGTCCCTCCCTCACGAGAAGCTCTTGGCTAAATGTAAAACAATCCGTCCCTACCGAATTTATTGTGCGCCAGAAAAACTAGGAGGCAATAAATATTTTATCTTGCGAGCGGTCCATATGTATGAGAGAGAGGGAGCGCCTTATATCATACAGAGTGTATCTACATCCCGATGTCCACTCGGAAATAATGACGGATCATTTATTAAGACGATCGGGGTAATAAAATGAAAAAAGAAAATGCCTCTTCTGATATATAAAAATATCAAGATTGCAACATCATATAGAGGTTTTATTTGATTTCTTTTTGTTATAAAGAAAAAATGAATGTTAAACTACAATTTCGATATTCCTATGGCTCCACTAGTTTTCGTGGTCCGCTTGACCAATTAATAGCTTTTAATTAATTAAGGTTTTTAGATGAGATAAAAATGTCAATGTCATGAACGGGATTCGAACCCATGATCTTCGGCTATATACGCCGATGCTCTACCACTTGAGCTATCGTGACCTCGATCCACTCGGACACCAATTTCCCATCTCAACCCCACCTTTTGAATTTTCCCGCCTTTTTGCCATTTTTCAAATGTCGTGTAATCTATTTGATTCTAGGCGACAAATGATCTTATCAAATGATTTATCTCAACTGAAAACCTTAATTAATTGAAAGATATTAATTGGTCAAGGGCACCACGAAAACTAATGGATTTAATAAGTTTAAATGAAGTATACCTTCACGAAAGCTCTCCGTAGCCATTGGTCATTTGTCGCAGAGAATCAAATAGATTACAGGACATTTGAAAAATCGCAAAAAGGAGGGACAATTCAAAAGGTGGGATTGAAATGGGAAGTTGATTGGAAAAACCTTAATTAATTGAAAAAAAATCCTATGGCTGTTTATTTAATGATTCAGAACAAATTCAATTTTTACCAAGTATATCAGTTAATAGTTTTAACTTAAGTAATATTTTCCTCAAAAATTGTTATAGTTTATTCAAATATTTATTATTTTATGTACTTTAGATTTAAATATATATATTTCTTTACCTAAGAGATTGGTAATTCCCTGAAGACACAACCATAAATTTTTATAGTGTCCACGTCGCCAAAATAGCAGTAAACAATGTATCACTATTATTTTCACTTATTTCTGTTTGTTGACGATTTTGTAAAGAAAAGATGAATGTTAATCGGCAACATCCCTATCGCTGTTTATTTAATGATTCAGGATATAATATATCAGTTAATACTTTTAATTTCAGTAATATTTACTCAAGAATTTTTATAGTTTAGTAAAATATTTATTATTTTATACACATATAGATTTAAATATATATATATATACGCACACACACACATATTTCTTTACTCAGTGCTTGGTAATGTTCCCTGAAAATACAATCACAAATTTTAACCCTGCCCACGTCGCCAGAATAGCAGTAAAGCGACTCTGCACTTGTAGTGAACTTCAGACTTAATTCTCCATTTCAATGTCCCCAATTTAAAGTTGAGAGAGAGAGAGAGAGACACTTCCACATTATTAAAGTTTTTTTTTAATGAATTGAAATTGTTTGCTGTGCTTCTTCCATTTAAAAGGTTTACTGACCTGATTAGTGTAAAATAAATTCCTTTACTACACTGTAAGTGCGAATTGTAAGTGTTCCACCTTCAAATATTAACAAAAAGAGTTTATGTTGTTCGTTCGACAAAAGTCATTAGCCATGAACATTTATGGCAATATTTTGCGATGATTTTTTTTGAAAAAGGGAGTTAAATTATTTAAATTATTGCTGGATGGCCGTACATTGACAACTCGACGACCCCTGTCTGGAAAGTTATTGTCCGACGAATTGTCCGTTGCGCATTTTCTCTTTTTTTGGTGGGTAAACAGCGATAAGAGATTGCTGAACATGGTTCAAGAACCCACCCAGATTAGACGGATTTACATTAACCCATTTACGCTTTTTAGTGAGTCAGACGACACCGTACTATAATCGATGCCTGAGTCACAGTCGCGTCCTCGCCGAAGGCGGAAATATTATTTAACAATTAGCAGCTAAAAATTGTAATGCCCTTGTCCATAAAACATTTAGAAAATGACAATTGACTTGCGAAGAGCAGACACCCGAACTCGGCCCTTCTGAGAAGCCTGCTCAATTAATTTAGACAATATTCCCGTTTCTATTGTTCCAAATTCATTTTGGAATCCTGTCGGCGCATGTGTTGGAACGTTGACCTAGGCTTGTTTACACATTGACGAATGAATTTTTTCTGACAGGATAATTTTAAAGTGTAAAAAATTTCATTGGATTAACTAAAGCTATCCGTATAAAGCTTAACAGATTTAGTCTCTGAAAATGTTTTTAGTTATTCCTTCTGTTTTAGGCCAACATTTCAAAAATTATATTCTTCAGGTCAAAATTGAATCTACACGTTTTGAAGGTTGTTTCTCACCTATAAATTATATCATATAAAAAATTATGTTGATGTCGCGAGGAGCGGTCAAGAGTTAGCTTAGAAAAAATACGTTTTTAATTTTTTGCCGACGTTTCGACCCTTATTCGGGTCATCTTCAGCTCATAAAGTTTAGTGCTATTTTTGTGGTGTCATATTAGTTTTGTGTGAAATTGTTGTATTTAAATAAAGTGTATATCTAAAATAGAAATAATTGTTTTATTATTTCGATTTATCATAAACATGCTGACAAAAATAATCGTTTTTTAGTGAGGTCTGGCATAGAAACTAGGGTTGAAAAACAAAGGCAACGTTAGTCTGATTTAATTGTTTTAAAAAAATTAAAAATGGTTACCCTTCCAGAAAAACATAGGCTTGTGTACACATTAATTATAACAATTGTAGCGTCTGAAACATACAAAATTTAAAATTAACTACAAAAAATTATTTATATTTATAATCTGGGGGTAGGGAATTGAATTGAAACATTTTATTTATAATACTCGCAGATTTAGGGATCGACCTATGTGACAATGAACGAGTTCGGTTTTACAAAAATAAACGACACGTTTATTCATTATAAACAAACAAAAAAATGAACACACATATTTTAAACTTAAATCAGTTTTACTAAATATAACATGTACGCGTAATATACAGTATATCTTACCAACTTGTGTTAAAAACAATGTAATATTTCAACTTTCAATAACTACAATTAAAAAAACAAACAAAAATTGATAAACCTGAAATCTTGAAGTAGATATACAAGAGAAAATTTAAAAAAAGTGAAAAATATATAATTATATAAAAACCATTTAAGATGTGAATTAATTAGTGGGCATATTTACAATATAATAAAAATAATAAATCACAAGGAGTATTTGGGAGGAAGAGAGAAGGGAAGGAGAGAACGAGAAAAAAGAAAAGGAGAGAGCGAGAGAAAGTAAGAACAAGAAAAGACAAATAGTGAGAAGAGAAAGTGAAAGTGAGAGGAGGAAAGAGAGAGAGAGAAAGAGAGAGAGAGAGAGAGAGAGAGAGAGAGAGAGAGAGAGAGAGAGAGAGAGAGAGAGAGAGAGAAGGGAGAAAAAAGTGACGAGCAGAGATAAGAAAAGAAGGAGAAATAGTGTGAAAATAATATAGAGTGATAGATAATCGAGAATGAAAAAATGAGTGACTGAGAGAAAGAGATTGATTAATTAAACTTTTTATTTAATCACGCAAAGTTAGGTCTCTTGGTCCTTTCTTCCACTAAACGTGAGATGTACATTTTACATTACATTTACAATTTATGCCGTCCCTTTAGGCATTAGAATTTATTTTACAAATAGAATACAAAAAAAATTTTACACATTTTTTACTAAATATTTTACGATACAACAATTTTTGTTTTATAAATTGATAAGGCGATATGTATTTATCTATGTAAGAAATCATTGAATGACAATCAAAAGAAAAAAATAGAAAAGATAAACAGTAAAAACTTTAATAAGAATTTTTGATAGTTAAATTTGACTTTAAATTATATAATCAATAATTTTTTAATTTTCGTTGTAATTATAGTTATTTAGAGAATGCAAAAATACATAATATAAAACATAATATTAATTAATTTATGATTCCATTTTACATCAGATGTTTCAGATGTTTTCTTTTGAAAGTAAGAAAACTGCTCTCAAAGAAAATACTATTTTGAATATTATTAAACAGCTTTATGCTGATAATTAAGAAAGAGTTGGAGTATGTTTTAATTCTATGAATTGGAATTTCGAAAATATTGTTCTGTCTTAAGTTTAATGTTTTCATTTTTCCCTTATATTTAACAAATAGATAGTTCGGTTGCTTAGAGTGTATAATTTTAAACGTTGTTGGTCATTTTTTGTAATTTATCGTATCTTAATATATTATTTATTCTCTTATATTTATCACATATAGCACTGTAGTACTTTCGTCTTAATATGTATCTTACATATGCATTTTGTGCTGTTTGTATATCACGTTTGTTTGTATCAGACAAATTATAGCATAATGTAATAAAACATCATAGCAATCTCATCATAGAAGAAGACTGAGTGAGAGAGAAAGAGTGAGAGAGAGGGAGGGAGAGCGGGTGCAGGTGAGAGAGAGAGAGAGAGAGAGAGAGAGAGAGAGAGAGAGAGAGAGAGTGAGAGAGAGGAGACTGAGAAAGGTGAGGAAGAAAGAAAAAGAGAGTGGAAGTTTGGGAAAGAGAGAAAAAACTTTGAAGACTCATTAAAAAACTGGCATTTCTTGTAACTCGGAGACACGATGGTGGTAATTAATGATATCTAGCAAAGTAATTAGTTTTGTAAGGTAAGTTGTGTTTGTGTTAAGGAGCCAAAATGTTTAAACATCATTATTTCTGATGCTCGAATATTGATTGACGGCGTCCTCTTCCGTAAAAACTGGAGTGTTTCTAAAATATTTGTCTGCCTTGCTTGCTGTCGACGTGTAACTCGAGCAAACAATAATAATGTAATGAAAATGTTTTTTCATAAAAGTCTTTTCCAATACAGGTTCTATTGTATGCGATGGTTTTAAATTAGACCCACTGTTCCGGATATAATTTCCATGAAGTTTGAGGATTTCTCCAGTCGTCACGAAAGGATCGGTGAAGGCCCCAACCCCCGAACTCGTTCTCAGGCCCTGTTTTATTGGCGGATCCCGCCTCGGCTCTTTAGCCAAATTCGTCTCTTAGGGCAAATTTATTAAATTGGATTCCGAGTATCCCGGGGGATGAGATTGGAGTCGGCCAAATGGAAAACAAATCGGATCCGGTAGAATCCCATGCCCGGTTTAATAAGAGGGCCCACTTAGTTCGCTCCTGTAAAACGCGCCCCTCTCGAGTGCTCGCCAATTTAACATACGCTTTCTTTTAAGCCCGTTCTACACTCATTTGAAATTCAATCGGGCTCAAAAGACCCGATAAAAATAGATAAACGAACACCTATTTTCCCTCATACCATTCCAAACGGGTATTGGAGTTGAGTTAGATTGGAACTTGCAAATTAAATCTACACAATAACGCTCCTTCTAACA